CGTTCGCTACCGAAAATTTTCGGTAGCGCATGATCTGGGTTCTGATCTGGTCACGCACCGGCGCACGGACTCCTGACTGCAACACCGATTTGCAACATTCAGAGTTTGCAGCGGAATGGCGAATGCACTGGTCGTTACTCTGCAGATGCAAGGGCGCTGCTGGAAATGTCGGCGCACCTTCATCGTCTGCGGGTTGGGGGAACAAGCAGGTTTCTGCCCCAGGGGGAGACCTCAACCTGGCATCGCTCGGAAGTGTGTACATGTTTCTCGGCGAGAACCATCGAGGACCATCCTGGACCATCGACCAACAAAAACACACACGCACGAAACCGAAACATGCACGGCAAAAGGACGTCCGAGCCTCGGCAACTCAAGGAGTCTCAATTCTCAAAAGACGCGTGTTCCGTGCGCCCGCCTCCTCGTGAATTCAACTGCCGTCGATCTTTCACCCCCCCGCGCGTACGGGGACAGCGAGGCTAGCAGCTCTGGGCGCGTCGTGCTTCTGCGCAGGCACCGCCACCGACTTGGCGAGGGGCGCCGTTGTGTCTGGTGTCGAGAGGCCGACACACTCTCCCCCACCCTCTGACCCGCCACCTCAGCCGCAGCACGCAGCAAGCGCTGTCGCCGGCACCAGACCAAGCATCACCGAGCCCAGGCCTCTGGCGGCTCGGCCTGCTCGGAGCGCGCGTCCCCCAAGCCTGAGCGGACCTCGAGACCCCCTCCCCGAGCCCGACTTCTCACCCCTGGGCCGGCTTGGACGGCCCCGACCGGCCCGAACGGCCCCAGCCCCGTGGCGGGCGTTGCGTCAAGGTCCGCCACGTGCAGAGGGGGGGGCTGGGGAGGGGGGAGGGCTTCTTAGAAGCACCCCTGCTTCTTAGAAGGCGCGGGCCTTATCTATAGATGTAAGGCTGGCGCCTTCTAAGGAGCAGCCTCCTTCTAAGAAGCCCTCCCCCCTCCCTCCACCCCCTTTCGCGCGCCGCCCAAAAAAAGAGGGAGTGGCGATCAGAGGGGGGGTGAAGAGAGGTGCGCCTGTTGCGCCCTGGAGGGGCCCTGAAGTCTGGCCCCTGAAGGGGCACGCCAGGTGCGCGCGTCGCCGCCCCCCCACTCGTCGCCCCTCGTCGCCGAGCCACGCCAGATTCTCCGAGGCAGTCTTCTCGCCCCGGCGCCGGTTTGGACGGCGCGGGCCCGAGGGCCCCAGCAGCCCCCCGGAGGGTGTGGAGCGAGGCCGCCTGTCGGCCCCCTGGCGGACCGACCGAGCCACCTCGCCTCGCTCCGGGACGCGGGAGGAGGAGGAGGAGGAGGAGGAGGAGGAGGAGGAGGAGGATGAGGAGGAGGAGGAGGAGGAGGAGGAGGAGGAGGAGGGAGGAGGAGGAGGAGGAGGAGGAGGAGGAGGAGGAGGAGGAGGAGGAGGAGGAGGAGGAGGAGAGGAGGAGGAGGAGGAGGAGGAGGATGAGGAGGAGGAGGAGGAGGTGGAGTATGTGGGGGGGTGCGGGGCCAGAGGCGAGGTGTTCGATCATGGACCCCTTGTCAACCGAAGCTGTCGGGCTCTGGCGCCGCAGACCGCCAGAGAGACCTCCTTGAAGCCGCCGAAGGCCGCACCAAAGAGAGCGGCAGAGGCCACCAGAGACCGCCGAGGTCCGCCGAACACCGCCGAAGGCCCAAGGGCAGAAGGGAGCCCATGATCTAACACGTAGCGTGAAGTCGGGCGCGTCCCTCAACATGAGGAAGAATCAAACACAGTCAAGCAATAGCCTGGGTGTGTTTTGGAGACCTTCTTTTCGACCATGTGGATTTTTGCTTGGCTGTTGTATTGTTGTTCGTCCGGTATCTCCCTGTAGGAGGACATGCCCGACCTGGCATAGCGGTCCGGAACTGCTGCGTTGCGTGTGGCGCCGCCGGTCCTGGACCCTAACGCCTCGGCGCGCCACGCTGGCCATTGTCCGAGTCCGCGGCAGCAGAGTCCCGAGCCGCCGGGGCCGTCGCCGCGAGACGCCACGCGCAAGTTCCTGAGCGCATCTTTTCGGGAGCCATCAGGCGTCTGGGTCCCTGGGCGCGCAACGAGGGGGGGGCGGGCAAGAGGGGGTGGGGGACAAAAGGCCCCCCTGCTGCTGGGCCCGACACGGCTCCTTGCAGTGGCCCCAAAAAGTGTGTTGCTTTTGGGCCGCCCTCGCTGCCCCACCATTCGTTTTCCCCCTCCTACTGCGCGCCCCCCAAGGTCTGACGCAGCGCTGGGAGGTGGCAGGCGCGAGAGCGCTGGCACTGGAGAGCAGCCTCTCCTCGAGCCCCCCGCCACCCCCACCGAAGAATATGCCCACGCACGCGCTGCCGTGGAGTATCGAGGCATTCGGGAGATGAGAAACACACTAGTATTCGTCGATTTGCAGGAAATCTAGGACAATGAGGGAAGTAGGGGGGAGACGAACACCCAGAAACGATAGGAAGACATGAGGGGATCCTTGTATCTGTGTATCTGTAGTTCTGTGTCCCTGGACCCCTCTAGGAATGGGCACGGACAGAATGGGAACGACAATCGTGTCGGACGAAAGTGGAGATGGGGAAGAAGAGAGTGTTACGAGATCTGCTGCGTGCAGCTGCTTTCCGACCCTGCCCTCAGGCGCATCCCTCGACACACTGGCGCCTCAGGTGCCGGGAGGCGCTGGGAAAATCGCCTGTGCGAGCCGATTCCTACCCCCCCTTTGCTATCAGCACCCTTTCGTCCGACCCTAGCATGCCACCAGCAGCTCATGCCCAGAGCTCGCTGCTGGCGTTTCCGCGGCCGCCGCAGCAGCCAGAGGGTTCCCCTGCCGGCTTTTTGGACAGCACTTGCTGTGTGGCGTCGCGCCCGCTTCTGCCTTGCACGTCTCTCGCCTGGTGTTTGACCATGGACCCCCTTGCAAGCACGAGGCCATCCAGGAGCGTGTTTCTTCGTTGCTTGGGGCGCCATGTGCATTATAGCCCCCGTCTCCCCCCTCCCCCCCCTACAACGTGACGCCCCCCCCCCCAGTGCGCTCCGGGCGCTGCCGCCGTGCGCACGTCGGGGGGGAGGCGTTACACTATACCCCCTCCTGGCCACCTCCCCCCCGCCCTATAATGCGGCCGAAGACCCTCCCAGAGGCCTCCGCCGACGACCGCGCACCTCCTCGCCTTCGCGTGCTCGCCTGCGCGCTCACCGGCGCGGGGCGCTCACCGCGGGGCGCTCCGCGGGGGGCTCCGCGGGGGCGCTCCGCTTCGCCTTCGCACAGCGCGGGGCGCGGGGCTCCCGCGCTCCCCCCATTGGCGCGGGGCGCTCACCGCTGGGGCCTCTGCCTTCAAGTGCGGCCCGCCTCGCCCCGTCCCGTCCCCGCCTGCGCCGCGCGGCTCGCTCTGCCTCGCCCTCGGCGTTTTGCCCCCCCGCGCTCCGCCCCTCCCGCCCGGACACGATCCCGCAGGGCGAAGGCCTCTCACAGCTTTCCCGCCCTGGGGGGGCCTCGCCGGGCCCTGGGACCACCAGAAAACGATGCAGGATGACAGGCCGGCGCCGGGGAAAAGGGTCTGGTTTTCTGGGGACGCCGTGCTGACAAAAATCAGGGCGTCTCATGTTCAGCATCGTTTGACCGATTCCCATCCCCATGCCCATCCCCGTCGAGACCCCACAAAATGAGCCCCCCAGTTGGGGATACGCCCCTCGAAACTCGATGCGGCGTATATCGCCTTCTGGGGGGTAAATCGGCCAGTGGCGGGGCCCAGGCCACGCCGCTGGGGATGGGGATCGGTCAAACGATACCCATGTAGGAGAGCATGCCCGACCTCAGCGCACGCGCTCTCATCCGGTGGCGCCTCGCGCGCTTGGCGGCGTCTCCTGTGACCATCCCGGGGTTGGTCTGGCGGTGGCCCCTCGCGCGTCGTGGAGGCCAGTTGTCCGTCGGTCCGCTGTCGGAGGAAACATCGGATGAATGAGAAGGGGCTAGCCTTCAGTCGGGCGTGTCCCTCTGCAGGAGGATGATTCAAAAACAGTCGAAATATAATATTGGGACGACTTTCCTACTATGTTCGATCATGTTGGTGTATGGTTTGACCATTTCCTATTTTTCGTCCAAAATCCCCCTGTAGGGGGACAGGCCCTACCTGAGGCAGGCCTCCTCGGAAGGCTCGGAAATCCCCCGGCCTTCCGAGAAGCTGTCCGAGCCTTCCCCGCACACGCGCAGAGATCTTCTAAGGAGGCGTGCGGCCTTCTCTGTGAGGAGGCCTCCTCCCTCTCACTTCCCCCCCCGGCGCTCGCCGCCGACAGCTGTCCGTCGGTCCGATCTTCTTCTTTTCTCGGGGGCGGCACAGAGGGGGGGGACGACGAGGGGGGGTGGACATCATGGCGGGGGCCATGATACCTCCCCAGATTCCACGGCGCATCTTCTTGTTCCACTGCCTCCCTGGCCCCCCCCCCGCTGGGGCCGCGCGCGTGCCGCCGGCCACGATTTTTGCGCCCCTCTCCTCTTGGGCGCCCCCCTCTGGGCCGACCCCGCTTGTCTCAGAGCGTGAATTACCCACCCCGCTTTCGCTTCCTGGCAAAACCAAGTCGTACCACGCGCCTCCTCGTCAAGCGGCCTGACCAGTACTGGCCGTAGTTTGGCATCGCTTGGTATATCTTGGAAGCGAGGGTGGTCAAAAGCGAGGTAGGTCTGTTTTCCCCCTGTTGTCACTCCCCTCCCGCAAAACAACGAATCGAACAACGATCCTGCTGAGCTCAACCTTGAACGGCGTGCCGCCTGCCACCGAGGGCGGCCAAGCGGGCGGTGCGCGGCGCCGGGAGCGAGCGCGGGGGATGGCACACGGCCTCCTCCTCGTCCTCGTCCTCGTCCTCCTCCTCCTCCTCCTCCTCGTCCTCCTCCTCCTCCTCGTCCTCCTTCTCCTCCTCCTCCTCCTCCTCCTCCTCCTCCTCCTCCTCCTCCTCCTCCTCCTCCTTCTCCTCCTCCTCGTCCCCCCCTCGCCCGCCGCCAAAGCAAACTGCGCCCTCCCCCCGCACCCAGGAGGTGCAGTGCTACGACGGGGCCATCACCCAGAAGCCTCCGGCCGGGGGGGCGTCGGGGCGCGCACCGGGCCCACAGGAGGAGGAGGAGGAGGAGGAGGAGGAGGAGGAGGAGGAGGAGGAGGCGGAGGAGGAGGAGGAGGAGGAGGAGGGAGAGCCCAGCCCGACGCCCTGCACGCTTGCCATGGGAAGCGTGGCGTTCCCACACCAGAAATCGATGGACGCCTTCGGGTCTCTTGTGGTTGGGTTTCTCGTGGAAGGTTTCTTGTGGTCGGGCCTCCACTGTGCTCGCGAAGTGCCTACTCGTAGACGTCCGGCAATGCACACGCGTGCCTCGATGCAGCAGGTCGCAGATCCCCCGCGTCGGATTCAGGCCATGTGCGAGTGGTTGACTTAGCGAGTAGTGGGACGCCCGAAGTCGGTGGGGGCGTGGATTAGCGTCAAGTCGGGCCTGTCCCTCTACAGGAGGAAGATTCAGAAATAGTCACAAAATAGTCTGGGGACGATTTTTGTTTGACTGTCTTTGCCCATTTGGGGGGGTCTTTTTGGACAATTTTTATGATTTCCCGCTTTTTGGGGAGGGCACTTCCCCCGATCCATGGATGTGGCGCGCGGTCGCCGAATCCATGGATCGCTAATCCATGGTTGCGCTAGAGCCAAGTGCGATGCCTTGCATATTCTGGCTGACGCTGTGGCGTTCCTGGCCTGAACTGTGTTTTCTCTCGCCTCGAGCGTTGCCCTCCTCGCAGGGCTCATTTCGATTTCTCCGATTCGATTCGATTTCGATGGCCTCCGATTCCGATTCGATTCGACTTCGGATTCCGATGTGGGATCCGATTTCTCAATGGAGGCCTACTGGCCCACTAGCCTGCCAATGTCTACCGATTCGACTTTTCCCGCCGATTTCCGCCGATCCGATGCATTTCGATCGCCGATCCGACTCATCGACTCGCCTCTTGGCCCTCCCGCCTCCTGGGGAAGTCTTACCACTGGGCACCGGCAGTGATGTGTGCAATCGTGGAAGGCCCCTGGCGCCCCGGGGGTGCGTGACGACGTCTTGGAGGTGTCGGGCCTCTGGCGCGGCCTCGGCGAGGCTTCTCGTCGACGGGGCTGGCTCCGCCGCGAGATGCTGCCGGGAGCGAACTTCCGGAGAGGTCGGGGAGTCGTGGGCCGAGCAGGCACGCCAAGGAGGCCCAACGGGGCGGGGGGGGGGCCCGCGGCGGGCGAGGTGGGCCGTGGCCGACCGCGGAAGGAGGCACGCGGAAAGGTGGTGATGGTGGTGGTGATGATGTTGGTGATGATGGTGATTGGCCTGTCCCCCTACAGGGGGATTTTCGACGAGAAAAAAAACATACCCCGCAAATCCTAAAAAAATGTCAACAAATAGTCTGGGGACTAGTTTTTGAGTATGTTTTTTTGGCCTTTTTAGGGCATGTTTGGGGTATTCTTTCTTTCTCGTAGAGAATCCCTCTGTAGGGGGACACGCCCGACATAATCCTAACTCCTCCTGCATCCTCGGCACCGCCGTCGGCTCGCGACAGCGGGCGGGGCAGGGCGCCACGCCTGGTGCTCGGGGAGAGCCCCGGGCGGGGCCCGCCTGGCTTGACGGTCCGGGGGGGGCCCGGCGAAGGCGCCCGCGGAGGCAGCACGGTGCAGACCGCCTTCCGGCGGGATTTCCAAGGGCCATCACGGTCGGGGGCGGAAAAGAGGGCGGTGATGACCAGGGGGGGTGGACGTCACGGCGGGGGCCGTCATATTTCCCCAGATTTCATGGCGCCTCGTCTTGTTTCATTGCGTCCCTGCCCCCCCCCCGCTGGGCAGCGCACATGCCGCCGGTCATGATCGGCGGATTTGCACCCCCTCTCTTGGACGCCCCCCTCTTGGCCGCTCCCGACACGGGGGCGCGAAGTCATTCGCGCTTCGCGGTCCTCGCTCCCTCTCCCCCTCCTCCTCGCCCTCCTTTTCTCCCTCTGGGGGGGCGGCGCGGGAGCGCGAAGCGATTCGCGCTTCGCGCTTCGCGGAGCGCGAAGCGCGAGGTTGGGAGCCCCTGGATTTCTTTATAAACGAGGGGGTCTAGGCTGTTGCCTAGAGGAACCATCGGCGGCGAGGGACGGGGGAAATGAGAAGGAGAAGGCCTTCCCAGAAGGCGGCGGGGCTTCTCAGAAGCCCTCGTGCCCTCTGGGAAGCTTTCTGCGTCTTCGGGGAAGGCGGAGAGAACTTCTCAGAAGGCCAGGGAACTTCCGCGCCTTCTGAGAAGGCCTTCTCCTTATCATTTCACCCCCTCGTTCGCCACCGAAACAAGGAACTGCGTAGTCATACTCTCTCTGAGGTCCGCGCGGATCTGTTTGGGATCGTCGTGGGTCCCCCCTCCCTGGTGCGCGGAGCGCGCCAGGGGCGGCGCCAGAGGCGCCGCTGGGGTGGCCCAGCGCCGTTCCAAGCGTTCCGCTTGGACTTGAGAGGATTTCTTCACGCTTCGCGTATCCCCACCAGTCCCCGTCCATGGACGCATGGACTTGCCAGTCGGACTCACGCCAAGTCTACCGTCGCCTGGTTCCGTGACGACCTGTACTCGAGCACGCGGTGCTCCGTGAGTGAGGCTCTTTTTTTCCCCCGTGTCCCTCTCCCTCCCCCTCCTTTTTCCCCCCCCGTCGCCCTGCCCTTCGCCGTCCGGTCTGTCGGGTGCTGGCGCCCCGCTGTCCGTCGTCGGCTCTCCTTGAGTTTGCTCGACATGCTTGCTTGTGCGGCCGGCTGTCGACAGTGACAGCTGGGTTCGCAAATTATCTGACCCGCCCTCTGGGTCGTTCTTTTCCCGCGCCCGTCTCCCCCGGTCGACGCTAAGATGCGTCTCCTCGAATTTGCTCGGCATGCTTGCATGCGCGGTCGGCTGTCGACAGTGACGGCTGGGTTCGCAAATTACCTGGCTTTGTGCCCCAGTCAGCCCGATTGACCCGCCCTCTGGACTCTTCCTTGGGGCCGCAGATCAAAAAAAAAATCCCCACCAGTAACGCGCTGTCGTGAGGACGCGGGGTTGTGGTATCAACCCCTTCCCTTGGTCACCGCCACAGCGGCTAGCAGTGCCACCCCCATCAGATGGTCGCCCTGATCCACATGGTGCGTTTCAGGGCGCTACAAGGGCTTGGCTTCGCGTAAGGCGAAGACTGGCGCGCCCTACCCGCTTCTGGTACTACCCGACGTCGGGCCTGGCATGGGCGTGTTCTTGCACAAGTGGTTCTCCTTTGGCAGGGCATCGCGGTTCCCCCGGCTGGCCCTTCGCGCAGGTGCCTCGGTTAGCGCTTGCAATTTTGCGCCCCCGATCTTCCGTGTCGGATAAGTTGCACGCTGTGGACACAGGCGGCATTGACGTTACGTTTGCTGACTGGATATCTTTCGCTCTCGCGCTCAAGAGCGGCAGACCCGACGTCTGCGACAGTGAGTCACCGCGAGTGGGGCCCCCTCTGTGCCGCTCCCCTTTTTCCTGCCGTTGGGTGCCCGTCTGGCGTCCGCTGCGTCTCTCCTGTTCTCTCTTGCCTCGCCTTCCGTGTGTCTTGGCCCGAGTTTGGTCTCGTCTCGGCCGCTCCGTGCTGCTACAGTACGGTCCGTGCTCCGCGCCTTTTCTTGGTGTGTGTGGGGCTGGAGTTTGGCGCCGCATGGGCGACTGCTCCCTTCCGTCCGCCGCCGGTGCCGCGTTTGCGTCCCCATCCGCTGGGATGCCTGCGACGGTCCCCCAATGAGGGCCACTTTGTCCCTGGCATGTGCACTCGCTACAGCGGCCTACGTGCCTCTGCAGCCAATTATCTCGCTCTGTGGCCCAGTCGTTCATCCCGCTCCCTGGATCTGTCCTTTGGAGCCGCCAACCAAAAAAAAAATCCCCACCAGAACCCATCCCATCCATCAGGCAGGTTTGCGACGTTCCTCGGCAGCTCAGCCCACCTAGCTCGCACACGCCGTTGGGACGGCCCCGGGCCTGGCGCCCCACTGGCGACTCGTCCATCGTTCACCTCGCCTGCGCGCCCACCAGGCATGATGGACACGTTGACATCTGCGCACACGTCCTCGCGCTGTCTGAGTGGGTAATGCGTCACGGCATACACCGAATTTCGCGGCATGCTGCTAGGCTGCATGTGCCTGAGTTTCCCTGGATGCCCTCAGCCCGTCAGCTTTCCCGCGCAGCCCCGCTGCTGCTTGGTGAGTGGGCCGGCCGGCCTGCGGCGCGTTTAGTAGCGAATTAGGCCATTACCGTGTCCCGGAACGCTTCTGACTCCGCCTGCGCTCTCGCTCGTGGACGCGACCGGAAAAATATCCCCACCAATCACCAGCCGGTGACAGACCGGCCTGCGCTCTTCACACGACTTTCCTGACGGCGCGCGGTTGGACCGCGAAGCTCGCGATCAAAAAAATATCCCCACCAGCCCATTCAGAAATGTTGCCCATGAGAGTTGACTGGGAATGGGAGGAAAACGCACATAACTATAGTGAAACGAAGCGATCAAGGAGAGGACGGGGAGGAGCGTGTTGAGCCATCTTGGATGTCGTTTTGGAGTATTTGAGTCAGGAGGAAGGGAGGGGGAGGACAACGCCATCTTGGGAGTTTATTGGGGTTTCCTTCGGGTTTTCTTGGGGATTCCTTTGGATCCTCTTGGGGCCCTTTTGGGGCTCTTTTGGAAGGCCCTGGGGTCTTCATAGGGCTATGTCTAAGTGTCTTGGGCCCCTCTTGGGGCTCTCCTAGGGCCCTCTCGGGTCCTCGATTTGCCGCCCTTCCTTGTGGCCATCAACATTCTTTCTTGGGGCGCTATTGGGACAGTCTTGGGCGCTCTTGGGCCGTTCTGGGGGCCTCTTGGGCCCCTCTTGGGACCCTCTTGGGCCACCTTGAGACCTCTGACGCCCATCGGAAGCCAACAGGCGAGAACGCATACATCACTGACTGTTCTTATGCTTTTGACTGAGGTTGTCCTCTTCGGGGGGGGGGTCTGGGGGGCTCCGGGAGCACTTAGAACCGTCTTGTGGCCCTCGTCGGGCCTCTTGGAGGTACAATAGAAACCCATACCAAAACAACACCCTGCTTGCCACCAAGATGCCCTGGATCTCTTATGTTTCGCTGGGTTCTGGTATGGATTACGTGACGTTCCCATACCACAGCAAGAACAATGCAGGTCCTGGGGTACCAGGGTTGGGTTTTTTGTGGAAGGTATCTTGTGGCCGAGCTCCTACTGTATGCCGGAATTTGTCTTGCAACATGTTCGGCTGTTCTGGGCCATTCTGGGCCATCTTGGAGCATCGGGCACCTTCTCGAAGCCATCTTTCCTGGGCGAAAGAATGAAAAGAACCCTCTGGCACCTCGCGACATGGCCAGACACAACAAACGGAACCTCAGGGAGGGGCCGGCGGGGGGCACTTCTCCCCGAAGGGAAAGAGGGTGCTTGGAAGAGGGGAGTCACACATATCGTTGGACCACCTCCCCCCTTCTCCCCTGGAGAAGGAGGAGGAAGAGCAGGAGGAGGACATACGCCCAGGGAGAAAGAGAGAGAGAGAGAGAGAGAGCTGGCGAGAGTCGGCTTCTGCCTCTTTTTTTGGCTCCTCGATGGTCGTCGTTCCCCATCGGGGGCGGGGGTCGGCGTCGCCCCAACATACTAAAACTATGCGCTTTGCCCCCCCCCCATGTGCTACGCGCGCGCGCCGAGAAATCTTCTCGTGTATGCGTCGTGGCGGGCGCTGCCTGGCCACGCCGCTCGGGATACGACATGCTGCAATATGGGTATACTAGATATTCGGGTCGGACGCGCGCCTCCAAGGAGGACATATAGAACTACAACCCTCGTCAAGCTGAACCTCAAACATGTCTTACGTGGCTGAACTTTTTGTGGGGAGATACTGGACAGAGTAGCGATGACTGCGAGGTACTTGTATGCGCCGCCCCTCCAATGTCGGTCACCGTCGAACTTCCGAGTCGTTCCCCGTCAGACCACTTGTGCCCTGGCCCCGATATTGGAGGGGCGCCTACCGACATTGAGGGGCGCGCTGCAGGGGCGTGGTCGCCATTTCTGATGTTGATTTGGACGAGGGTAGCAGTGTGCCTCTGTGCGTGCCAGGGGGGGGCAGGACGGCACCTGGTGCTCCACCGCCTCCTGGGAGATCCCGCCCGTCGCCTTCGTGGGCGCCGTCACGCTGGTGGCGGGCGCGGCGGGCCTGGCCGCCGACCTGCGGCAGCGGCGCTTCGAGCACCGCTGCGTCCGGGCGCGCGGGGGACAGGGGGGCGGCACCCTGTCGGGGGCGGCGCCTGCCGAAGAACAAAGATCCGAGGCGGGAGTCTATACATGACCACCGCCTGCAGGGTCAATTTTCAGGGACCTCGGCAGGCGGTGGATACGTATATATACGAATCTATATATATATATATAAATATATGTATGTATATATATAGGTATGTGTATATATACATATGTATCTGCATATATATAGCCTCGTGTGTATAAATATATATATATGTATGCATACATACATACATATATATATATATGTGTATATGAAGAGAGAGAGAGAGAGAGAGAGAGAGAGAGAGAGAGAGAGAGAGAGATTCGGGCCCCCGGGGGCCAACATATACCCACATCCACCGCCCGTTGGGGCACCAGGACGTCGGTTCCCAGGCGGTGGATATGGATAAACCGCCGCCCCGCAAAAGTATCCGCCGGTCGTGGAGAGCAGGCATGCCCTCTCTTCTCCCGGGGGGATTCGTGGGAGGAGGGCTACCTTATCCCAGGTCGGGGCCGTGCACCTCCTCTTACAGTCGGGGCCCTGAAGAAGGAACCCTTTTGGTTGGGGAGGGGCTCCGCGTTCCTTAAGTGTTTCACAGCTTGCCTCGGGTTTTCCTTATGTTTTCGCTCGGGAAAATCGAAGTTTAACTTGTGGGAAAAAAGGGGCCTCGTTCCTTATTTGGGGTTCCTTAGGTCTGACTGTACCACGACGAGCTCGTGGCCGTGCAGACCAGACATGCCGCCGGCCGTCGGGCGAGGGCACGGTTCCTGAGCGCTCGGACGCCTTCCGCGGAGAAGGCTGCCCGGAAGGGGCGGCCCTCGGAGGGGCGGCCGCGGGCTCCGCCTCGCTTCTGTGGGATTATTCTGTTTTGTCTATCTCTCTGTGCGGCCCGTGTTTGAATCCTCAACCGGCTCAATCTTAAGAGAAACGTTGCATTGACATGATTTCTTGGAGGTCCGCTCGGACCTGCGAGTGGCTTTGTGCACGGCAGCGTCTGTGTCTCCGCCCAGGCGGTGATGCGCAGAGCACCTGCTTGTCGCCGACGGGGGCCGGAAGGCCCACCCCACCCGGGAGTTGGCCTTTCCGCAATCGGGGGCCAGTCTCCGATCCGTCGGCGATGCATCGCCGATTCTGGGTCGACGGTTCCCACCCTGAGCCCCGGCAACGGCGGGGCCGTTCATTGTTCACGGTTGTGGTGTTCCGTCCTGTTGTCGGTTGCGTCGCCACGGTCATTGCGGTGTGGGTCGGTGTTTTGTCAGAGGCAGCGTTCAAGGGGGGGGGCGGTGAACCAGTGGGGTATGCATCGGCCTTCGATCGACCCTTTTGTTGCCGACAGGGGTTTGATGGCCACCCCGCCTAGGAAGGTGTTTTTTCGCCATCGGGGCTCATTGCCTATCCATCGGCGATTTATCGCCGATTCCAGGTCGATGCTTCAACATCTTGAGCCCTGGAAGCGACTGAGCTGGTGTTTGTTCCTGTTCCGCTTTTCCGTTTCGTTTCTGGTTCCTGCACATTTGGTATGGTTCCGCCGCCGTTTTTGTTGCGGTTCGCGTCCCCGTCACCATTCTGACGCGGTTGTTTGTTCCGTTTTGGTGGAGCGTTTTTGCTTGTTTTCAGTTCGAAAGCCAGATTTGTCCACATGCTATGCCATTTTCAGGGCGCACCAAAGGCGGGTCGCAATCCCTGGCATCCGTGCGCCGTGAGGCAAATCAATCAGAATTACTTTTTCGCCCCGAGCATCTGCTCCAGCTTCTTGGCTTCTTGAGTGCTACTTCTGTGGCCTCACCTTCAGAAGTCACCGTCAGGATCCTGCAATTCTCTGCTGTGGTTTCGGCGAGGTCAACCAGGATAAAGCCGCAGCTGAGAATCATTCGAGCTGCGTTTCGGGCTCTTGGGCTCTTTCTGATCGAGCGTGGAGGGAGAATCGCGACTGCATTGCACAGTCTTTAGCCCGGGGAATCTTCCCGAAGTGGAGCCCCCGAAGCGTCGCTCCACATCATGCCGACTTTACCCCGCCGCTTCCCCACTTACCTGCCCCCATCCCAGCGTTCAACGATGTATTGTTGACCGAGCCTGCGGGGCACAGTCAACCCGCATAGAAAGGATGGGCAACCTTCCCAAGGGAACCCTTGCATCCCTGCCTCCTCGGTCCATCCTTGGCCGCTTTCGTTGGCCACGCCCCGCTCGCAAAGTGCCGACAAGGCCTCCCGAGGCCCTTGCATCCTCATCGCGCGTCCTTATGATACGGGTTGACTGCCCAGACATGCGACCTCCTGATTTTTTCAGGACGGCGTCCCTGGAAGTCCCGACCCTTTCCCCGGGACCGGTTTTTCGTCCTGAGTCGATTTTCGACGGTCCCGAGGCCCGGCAAGGGCCCCCCGGGGCCGAAAATAGCCAAACATTGCCCTGCCCGCCCTGACTTTTTCTCCGACGCAAAATGTCTGGATGTAGGCCCTGTCCCGTTGCTGTGCGCTCTAGCTTGTGGCCCCCGGCTGCATCTGCGCAGCAGCCCGAGGCGCCCTCGAGCCGGATCGCCCGAGCCGGTCTTCCGCTCGCACGGGCGCCGCCCTCGAAGGAGCTTGGCTTCGGCATCGGCGCTGGCGTGTCCGGGGTCGGACACGGGCGATGGGCTTGTTTTGCACCGCCACCACCACGAGTTGGAGGGGGGAGGCAGTGGAGGATGAGGGGGGGAGGAAGAAGAAGAGGGGGAGGAGGAGGAAGAAGAGGGGGAGGAGGGCCCCCTCCCCCCTCCAACTTGTGGTGGTGGCGGAAGAACAAACAGGCCCATCAGCCGGCCCCGATCGGGGCAGAGTGAGTCCAGGTCGATGCCAGGTGAGCCAGCGGAGTCCTGGGCTCGAGTGCGGCAGGATCTGGCCCCGTGGCCCCTGCACGGACCATTTCCGTGGAGGTCAGCCCCCTGCTTGGGGCGGCGGGGTTTATGCTTACGTCGGGCACGTCCCTCGACGGGAGGGATATTCCAACATGGTCAAATTATCCCGGCAAAGCAACCTAACAGCGATGTGTAGAAGCATATCTGAAAGCATTCCCCTTAAGATTCAGATGAAAATCCAGTTGTCGAATTCTGCTGTTCTCGCAGTCGTAGTCGCATTCGCGATGACAGTCGCAGCGGCAACGGCAGTCGCAGTCACAGCCTCAGCCTCAGCCTGCCTCCCTCCTCCTCCTCTTTCTCCTGCTCCTCCTCCTCCTCCTCCCCTCTCCTCCTCCTCCTTCCTTCTCCTCCTCCTCCTCCTCCTCCTCTTCCTCCTGCCTCGTCCTCGTTCTCGGCCTCCTCGTCCTGCTCGTCTCCTCCTCCTGGTGCTCTCCTCCCTCCTCCTCCTCCTTCTCCTCCTTCGCTCTCCTGTGTTCCTCGTTCTCCTCCTCCTGGTCTCTCCCTCCCTCCCCTCCTCGTTCTCCTCCTCCTCCTCCTCGTCCTCCTCCTCCTCCTCTTCCCTCCTCCGCCTCCTCCCCCTCCTCCTCCTCCTCTCCTCCTCCTCCTCCTGGTAGTCCTCCCCCTCCCTCCTCCTCCTCCTCCTCCGCGTCCTGGTCGTCCTGTTCTCGTCCTCCTTCGTCTTGCTCGTCCTCCTCCTCCTGGTGTTCTCTTGCCGCCTCCTCCTCCTCCTCCTCCTCCTCCTCCTCCTGCCTCCTCCTCCTCCTCCTCTCCTCCTCCTCCTGGGTCCTCGTTTCTCCTCCTGCCTGGACTCTCCCACCCTCCCCTCCTCCTCCTCCTCCTCGTCCTCGTCCTCCTCACTCCTCCTCCTCCTCCTCCTCCTCCTCCTCCTCCTCCTCCTCCTCCTCCTCCTCCTCCTCATCCTGGTACTCCTCCCCCTCCCCTCCTCCTCCTCCTCCTCCTCTTCCTGGTCGTCCTCCTCCTCCTGGTCGTCCTCCTCCTCCTGCTCGTCCTCCTCCTCCTCCTGCTCGTCCTTCTTCTCCTGCTCCTCCTGCTCCTCGTCCTGCTCCTGCTCGTCCTCGTCCTCCTGGTCTTGCTCGTCCTCCTCCTCGTCGTGCTCTTGCCCCTGCTGAAAATGTGGCCCAGGAATGGGAGTTCTGGGAAGTCGAAGAGCACGAAGTTGCCTACAGTTGGCTACGGGCATTCAAAATGTGGCCCGGGAATGGAGTTCTGGGAACTCGAAGAGCACGAAGTGGCCTACAGTTGGCTCCGGGCATTCAAAATGTGGCCCGGGAATGGAGTTCTGGGAACTCGAAGAGCACGAAGTGGCCTACAGTTGGCTCCGGGCATTCAAAATGTGGCCCGGGAATGGAGTTCTGGGAACTCGAAGAGCACGAAGTGTGTGACTGTTGCATCCGGCCATCCAGAATGTGGCCCGGGAATGGAGTTCTGGGAACTCGAAGAGCACGAAGTGTGTGACTGTTGCATCCGGTTATTCTAAATGTGGCCCGGGAATGGCGTTCTGGGATCTCGAAGAGCACGAAGTGTGTGACTGTTGCATCCGGGTATTGAGAATGTGGCCTGGGAATGGAGTTCTGGGAAGTCGAAGAGCACGAAGTGTGTGACTGTTGGTGAAAAACGAGCCCGGCACCTGCCGCCCGGCAACTCCCAACACCTGCCCGGACCCCCCTGTGGAGTGATCTGCTGCTCTCTTTTGATCCCACTAGAAACCTATCAGTCTTCGCTGTTAGGTAAAAATAGTCCGGGAACGATGTTTGAGCATGTTGACTGTTTTTGCGTTCTTTTCGGGACATGTTTTTTCGTCTAGATTCCTCATGTAGGGGGACAGGCCCGACCTACATCTATGAGCGTGTATACATCCATTCAAATAAATCCGAATTAGGCCTTGTGGGTTTGCGTGGGCCCCCGGCTCCCCGAGCCTACCGGGGGATCCAAAACGGCACCGGAAGGCCCCTGGAGGGGTTCGACACGGCGTCGGAGCTCTCCAGAAAAAAACCCAAGACGGCTTACGGAGGCCCCGAGACGACCCAAGACGGCTTTCAGGCTGCGCAAGATGTTCTCCAGACGGCCCCATACTCCCCAAAGACGCCCCCGGACGGCTCAGGGAGGGTCCGAGGGCTCCCGCTATGAGGGTTCCCTCAAGCAAAAATGGCCACATTCCCTTTGTAAAATGCACATGTTCAACAGATTCGACATTTTCCTTTTCCAAGCGTCCAAGACAGCCCCAGAGGCCTCCAAGATTGCCCCAGACGGCCCCCAAGAGGGCCCAAAGATGGCGGAGACAGCCCCAGGACGGCCCCAGGGGCGCCCAAGACGGCCCAAGAGGACTCCAAGAGGTGCTGAGAAGGGGCCCAAGAGAGTCCAAGATGGCCCCAAGACGGCCCAAGTGGCGCCCAATGTGGCCCAAGACGGCCCCAAGACGGCCCAAGAGGGCCCCCAAGAGGCCCAAGAGACCCCCCATAGAACTCCCAAACGGCCCCCTAGAGGCTTCAAAACTGCCTCCCAGAGAGAGGGGCGGACGAGAGGCGAGAGGCCATTCGCAGGCCCAAAAGAACAATGTTTTACACTCCCGTGGTCCTGGCGCTGCCCGTCGGCGACGGCAGCGGCAGTGACGACGACGACAACAACGACGACGACGACGACGACGAAGACGACGACGACGACGACGACGAAGACGACGAAGACGACGACGACGAAGACGACGACGACGACGACGACGACGACGACGACAGCGACGACGACGACGCTGCCCCCGCCGCCGCCGCCGCCGCCGACGACGACGACGACGACGATTACGACGATTACGACGACGATGGCGACGACAACGACGACGACGGCGGCGGCGGCGGCGACAGCGAGCGACCGCTCTCGAAAAGCTCGCGGGGGTACTTTTGGAACTTCTGGGGGAACTCCCGGGGCCTCTTCGGACCCTCGTGGGCGTTTCTGCGCGGCCTCGTGAGCGCCTCTTTGGCCTTCGTGGGCGTCCCTTCGAAGTCGCTTCGGGAACTTCAGAGAGACCTCCTGGGCGTTTCTGGGAACATCCTGAGATTTCCTCGGGCCAAGGACTCCATGTGTCCGTCCAGGTCTCCCGTCTGGGCTCCCGGTGGAAGCCGTCTTGGATTGAGGGCCACCTGGGCCGTCTTGCGGCCCTGTTGGGCCGCTGCGTTGCCCCAGTGGTTACTGAATGTCGATGATTGTTCCTTCTTGGGACTATTTGAGAGTGCTCTCGGGGGCCTCGAAGAGCGTTTTGGAGACCTCTACACCCGTCTGAACGATGTTTCAACGTCTTCGTCAGAGAACCCGGCTTTCCGGAACCCTCCACGGGCACCATCACCTTCTCCTGGAACATTTAGCCCGTATTGGAGGTTTCCTAAGACCGGAATCCTCCAAAGAGGGTAGTGCTCTTACGCCGCCCCCACCCCCCCCCCGCTGGAGCGAACCCTTCCAAGGAACGTCGGCGCCAAGTGCAAACGCCAAACGCGGCGCGCGCCACCAACACTCGATCCTCACAACTCCGTGGATTTAATCCACGGGTCCACACTAGTATATGTATATGTATATACACATATTTATATATACATATATACGTACATATCTAGAATGTATATATTCTCCACTGCCTCGGGCCATGGCCCCTCCTGGGCCCAGGAGCGGTGTGCATGCACCCGCCTGGCGTGGCCGGGGAGGCATGTGCGCCGCTCCTGGGGCCGAGAGGGGCCGGGCCCGAGGCGGTGGAGATCTATCGCGTCGCCCTCACATCGCAGTTGCTCACTGGGGCCTCCCAGGAGATGCATCCTGACCCGCGCTGCGGCGCACAGGGGGGCGCGGTAGCAATTCATGGGGGCCTGGCGTATACTTACCCTGTTGTTTATGTCTTCAGCGTCGACTGGCGTCGATTAGCGTCTGGGAGTCGATGAGATGGCGTCGATTTCGCATCGGCTAGCGTCCATTAGCGTCGATGCAGCGTCGGTTTCGTGTCGATTCGGCGTCGATGAGCGTCGACGAGCGTCGATTCGCAAGAGCGGCCACAAGATGGGATGGGAGGCTCCCATGGGTTGCCACCGAAAGGGGGGCGCCATTGGCGGGGAGGGCCTGTCGCTGAACACCGACGGGCTCGGGGGCCGAGGCGAGCTGGCACAGGAGGACCCCGCGCCAGGGCTTCGGGGGTAGGGCGGAGGAGGAGGAGGAGGAGGAGGAGGAGGAGGAGGAGGAGGAGGGATGGGGAGGAGGAAAGGAGGAGGAAGGAGGGAGAGGAGGAGTAGAGAGGAGGAGGGAGGAGGAGAGGAGGAGAGGAGGAGATAAGAGGAGGAGGAGGTAGGAAATGAGGAGGAGGAGAGAGGAGTTGGAGGCCAGGGGAGGGGAGGAGGAGGAGGAGGTAGGAGCGGGCGGAGTATGAGGAAGGGGAGTGAGGGAGGGAGTCGAGGAGGAGGAGGTGGAGAAGTCTGAGGAGGAGGATGAGGGGTAGGTTGAAGGTTTGGAAGAGAGAGGAGGAAGGAGGATGAGTGGGAGTCCGTATTAGTTTATTTTATTCTTCTTTTTCTTAGTATCATATGATTATTATTATTTTTTATTATTTTTCTACACTGCTATTTCATTATTCGTATCAGGAGTCTTCTGCTTATTCTAATTCTTCTACTTCGTCCTTCTTTCGTTTTTTCTTCCTTCCCTTCCATTTCTTCATCTTTTTCTTCTCTGCTCCTTTGTGTTCTGCCCTCCTCTTGAGTGGCGACGGGCTCAGGCTCGCTTCAGCTCCTGGGCCCAAAAATCCTTGTGTGCATGCCTCCCCCTGGCAGCATTCAAGCAGTGGCGGGGCGTCCTGGCTCGCCTCGTAGGCCCACCAAATAATGCTCTAATAGCCTTTTGTGGTTTGCGCGACATGCTCTTAGAGCTCATCACCATCATCAGCATCGGCATCAGCATCATCATCATCATCATCATCATCATCATCATCATCATCATCAGCATCATCATCATCAGCAGCAGCATCAGCATCAGCATCATCAGCAGCATCATCATCAGTATCAGTATCAGTATCCTCATTAGTATCGTGATCATTACCCCTATCATCATCACCACCACCATCATCATCATTATCATCATCATCATCATCATCATCATCATCATCACCATCACCATCATCATCATCATCATCATCACCATCATCACCACCACCACCACCACCATCGTCATGATGTTGTTAGGGCTCATCATCATGTTCTTGCGCCTTTAGGGCCAAGAAGGAGCTCCGTTCTTCAGTCGGCGTTCCTTGTTCCTCGAACTAACAGGCGCTTTGAGGGTTTAAGATATTTCTGGCTGTGGCTGTCTTGTGTAACACATCGGCTGTATGGTCCAAGCACGTGGTTCTTGTTGAAAGAGAATGTGTGGGGCTCTAGGAACATGTCGTGGTAGGCCTAGGGTTGCCGGGACGGCCGGTCCCTGCTCAAGGCTTGGCCAGGAGGGCATGTTGCACCGCTCCTGGGCCCAGGATGGAGCAGGCCTGGGGCAGAGGAGATGTACCCAGACATGCTCGCGTCGTGGAAGAATCAGAGCGGGAGGTTTTTTGTGTTTGTTCGGTCTGTGGGGGCCCTCGCCAGGCCCCAGGACCGTCAACATTATTGAGGACGAGACGAGAAGCAGACCCCAGGGAATGGGCCGGGACTCCCGGAGACCGCGTATTGAAAACATCGGGACGTCGCATGTCTGGGTATAGATCCCGTCGACCTGTCCTCCCTCCTCTCCAGCGTCGTCCGCGTCGTCGTCTCGCGGTAGACAGCCAAGACGCTGAGTTGAGGAAGAGATCGGGAGGGAAGAAGGGCACCAATGACACGCTGCCGAGCCCGTCAGCGTGCTGCTCCTCCGTTTCCGGCCGAACCCCTGGTGTGTTGTTGGCCTCCCGCCCATGCCGCTGCCTGCAAAGGGGGCCCTCCGTGGCGGCGTGGGCAGTTTGGACGCCTCCTGCGGGCCTCTCGGGGTCCTCTCGGGAGCCTCTTCGGGGCCTCCTGGGGCCTCTGGGGGCGAAGGGGGGCCTCCTTGGGGCACCTTGGGGGGCCTCGTGGGGGCCACGTGGGGAGGCCCGCGGGGGGGCTCCCTGGGAGGCCTCCTGGGGGGCCTCCTGGGGGGCCTCTTGGGGGCCTCTTGGGGGCCGCGGCGGCCTCCCAGGGGAGCTCGCACCCTCAGGATGGATCCCAAATCGATCTTCACCGGGGTTTATATAACGTTCCAGGACTGTTGACCCGGGTTCATAATGTCTCCCCCGGGACATTATTAACCCGGGTTTCAATGTCTTGGGGGTATTGGTTGGGGTTCATAGGGTTCCCCCCGGAACATTCTAAACCCTGGGTTATGACGTTCTGGGGATATAGACCCCAAAGACATGTTAATTTGGGTTCATAATGTTCCAGGAATGTTGTTGACTGGGGTTTACAATGTCGCCGGGATAATGAACCCGGTTTCCGTACTTCCGGGATGATAATAATTGTTATTGTCCCCCCAACCACCGGGTTCCCCGCCAGGTTTTTCATGTTGGAACATTGACCCCGGGTCGATATCACAAGGAGATAACAAACCCGTTTTCAGAACGTTCCCGGATTATTGGCCCGGATTAATTATTCTGGGATGATACTGTTTGAGCCTGAGGGGCGCCGTTTGAGAGTACGTTTTGGATTGAAATAAACTTTGGTCCATAACTGGAATATTTATTTTAAGTTGACTATTCCGGAAAGATAGTGATTCGGTTGGGGGGCGGCGGGATGAGCCCGATCCATTCACAGGACAATAATCCATAGGGTATCATCTGAAGATGAAGAACCTAGGATTTCGGAGGTGGCCTCCGCACCGTCGGCCGTGGTCCCCCTCCCGGATTCTTCCTGGCGCGTTCTTGGGGCCCTCTTGAGCCGTCTCGGAGGTCTCCTCGGGCCGTCTTGGGGGGCCTTCTGGTTCCGTCTCGGCGCCCCCTTGAGGTCGTCTTGGGCCGTCTTGGGGCGTTCTTGGAGGCCTCCTGGACCGTCTGGGAACGTTAGGAACCTGAAGAAGCGGAACCGCTTACATCTTTCAAAATCCCAATGGATATCAATGGTTTGTATTTGGTGGGGCCTTCTTGGGAGTGCTCTGGAGAGGCCTCATGGGCCGTCTTGGAGGCCGCATGGGCTGCCTGGAGACAATGTTGAGCGTCTTGGGGCGATCTTCCGCGAATCGGAGCCCTCGTGCACACATCGGAGGCTTCGGGGGGTCGTTGAGGTCTTGCAGGGAACACCCCAGAACTCACGGCGGAAACCCGGGAAGACCCTGGAAGACCCTGGGACGGCCCCGGATTCCGGCGTTCGGGGCCCTTTGAAGGAAGAGCAGTCGTGGCTGCTGCAGCAGCACCCCAGCTGTGAGCCTCGGGGCACTCCACTTCGTGCCGGAGGCGCGGTGGCGGATTTCTCCAACAGCAGCATGGTGATGGGTCCCCCCCAGCGGCGTGTCATTGATCTGGTCCCGCTCCCCCAGCAGTGCGGGTTCGGAGAGGGGTCTCGCTGCTGTTTTGGGCTTTCCATGGCTGTTTCACTAGCGGTCCTCATGCACTCAGACGCTTTCGAGGCGAAACAGGGACTCCGTGCCTCAACTACTCAGCGTTCTTTGTTCCTCATGCGCTCAGGCGCCTTCATGGCCAAATGTGGGCTTCGTTCATCATTCGGCGTTCCCTGTTCACCATGCGCACAGACGCCTTGGGGGGCAAAGAATAGTTCCGCTCCTCATTCGGCAATCTTCGTTCTTTGTGCACCCACGCGCCTTTGGGGCCAAGCCGGAGCTCCGTTCCTGAGTCGGCGTTCCTTGTTCCTCGAACTGCCGGGTGCCTGTTTGGCCAGACAGGGCTTCCGTCGTTCAGTCAGCGTTCTTCGTGCCTTGTGCAGCCAGACCCTATCGGGGCCCACAAGAGGGGTACATTGCTTGATCGGCGTGCACCCAGGCCTCTTTGCGGACAGACAGCGGCACCGTTCCTCATTCGGCGTTTGTTGTTCCCTCGTGCCCCGAAGCGCCCTCGGGGCCAAACAGGGGTTCCGTTTCTCATCTGGCGTTCCGCTTTCCTCGTGCACCCAGGCGCCTCTGCGCACAAACAGGGGGTCCCTTCCTCATTCGGAGTTCCCTGCTTCGGGACGACGGACATGGGTACGGAAAGAATGGGTACAATGCCCAACAGCAGTTCCTGGTCATTCTGAGCAGGACTCGCTGTCGGTGTCGCCGCGGCCTGTGTCCATTCGAGACAGAAGGCCGCCTGCCCAACAGCGGCCGCTGTTGGTTTGGGACAACATTTGTTGTTGGGCGCTGTACCATTTTTTTCCGTACCCACTCCGGGCGTCCAAATTTAGAGGAAAGAGAACTATGCACATACACCGATTTTGGCCAGCCCTATCCTGAGCCCAGGATCGGTGCATACGCCCGCTACCTTGGCCAGGAAGGTGTGTGCACCGATCCTGGGTCAAGGACGGGCCGTGCCAGGATCGGTGCATGTGTATAGTTCTCTTCGCCTGACAAATTGCTCCTTGTGCACCCAGGCGCCCTTCGGGACACACGAGGCTCCGTTCCTCATCCGGGGCTCCCGGATTCCTCATCCGGCCCTCTGCGCTCCTCCACCCACACGGGGCCTTCGGGGACAAGCAGGGGCTCCGATCCTCATTCGGGTTTGCCGTGCTCCCTTTGCACCCAGGCACCTGTAGGGCAGCTAAACACGGGGTCCGTTCCTCATTCGGCGGTCCGTGTTCCTCGTGTAATGCAGGATGCTGGTTCGTAAATGACCGGGGGTCGTGTTGCGTCGGCGGCGCCCCGGAGGATGATTAGAAAAATCCGGCCGCGGGCTGGGAAGCTATTTTTATGAATCGTTCCCCCTTGCCGTCGTTGCAAAGTTTACATTCGACGTCAAATGAGCATGAAACATAATGCCTGAAGCCGACGTGGAACGAGTATTCGACGTACAAGTTAGAAGCCGACGTAGAGTTTGCATTTCACGTGAAATTTAAAGTCGACGTCGAATTATTATTTAACGTAAATATTGACGACGACGTGACATGAGTATTCGGCGCAAGATACGAAGCCGACGTGTAATAGACATGTGTTTGAATCGTCCTCCTCCCGTTGGAAAGTCGTACAGAAGTCAAAGAAACTCA